ATAATTATTCCAAAGAAACCTTTAAAAGAATAAATGATAATAACGTGCAATATCAATAAAATATTATTAAAAGTTCTATACATTTCTATCGTAAGAAATGACTGCTTTTCTGCACGATAAATAAGAGATTGCTCTGTGTGACGTATGTAAATGTTATCGCGTATCGAATAATCGCGTCAGAGGTCATTTCTTCGCCGAATTATGTCTCAAGCTGAGCGATATTTGTACGTAAATCATAGCGCGTCGGGTGGAGCATTGTTTCCCGTTTCCCTTCCGATCACGAAGAAGTGGCCCCCTACTCAATATTCAATAATTCGCTCGGCCACCGAGCACGATTTTAGCGGCCCTTCGCTGTTTGCTGACCCCAGCAGTGGTGGACTCGCATAAAATATAACCGAATCAAATCGGAAACTACGAGGCATTACGTTCCGGCGGGCAGCACGAAATCGAGGTTAAGCTTTTCCGGTTTTCGAAGACACTCACCAATATCTCAAGTTAATGACGCCATAAACGCTAATGCCTGTCACGGTAGCCGATTATTCCCACGCGCGTTCAACAAAAGAGTGATAATTGTTACAATGGCTCTATGACTAACGCGGGGTGAATGACGCGGTAATGATGGCCGCATAAATACGGGATTCGCCGATCTGTTTTGGCAGCGAATATCATTTTGCTTGCTCATCTCCTTGATATGCTGCCAAAATATCTGTTTGCAAAGAGTGCAATGCAAATTGATCTTGTTGCATATATTATTAGTATTTAAATATATTCTCATTTTGTCGTCTATGCATTTATTAATTGTGCATGATAAAATTAAATAATTAAACATAAACTAATTCTCATTTTAATAATTTAATCAACTCACTTTAATAAAATATACGTAGAAACAAACAGTGAAAGCTTTAAGTATATATTTCAAGTAGCATAGTGCGAGCGTGTGCTGCAAGTTGGCGGCACCGGTCGGACATGTGTTATTCCTTACTACTTTCGCCAGTTCGCTATTTCAGAAATATTAAACAACACTACTGAAAAATAATGCATTGTACAAACATTTGTTCCAAAAATATTATAAGCAAATTGATCAATCTCCGACCCCTGATAAACTACTTTATTTCATTTTGTTTCGACCATTCTATCCGACAATCACGGTACAAATGATCCAATTGTAACCGCCACGAAAGATATTTCACGTTTAACTCGCAATAAGCTTGACGCGAAATCCACCATGCTGAGCGCGGAACGCAGTGAGAAAACAGCGCGTGACTGCGCTCGCCGAGGAAACTCGTGCCATTTCCTCGGAAAATAATATTCCGGTGGCGAACGCGGATATTTTCGCCCGCTTGAAAACGGCGCGGCCTTACGTCCCGATGATTCTAACGTTATTTCCGACCAAGATTTGCCTGAAATTTGCTTCCGTGCCGGGACCAGAAGCCCATAAATATGTAATACCTCCCATATCGTGCAGCTCGGTTGCCCCTTTCCCCATTTTCTCTCCGCCGCCCCCCAAGTCGAATTTCGCCCCCCCTCCCTCCACCCTCAGCCGTCGTTGTCGTCGTCGCTTTTGGTGATTCTTGCAACCCCTTACGTGTTTTTGCGGGGCTGTACGCTCGCGGCGAAATACAAGGGGAAACGCGGTAAATCATTTGTCCCGAAAGAAAACACAATGCAATATCCCGGTCGTCCTGCTCGAGACGCCACCGCCCGTGTCTCTCCTCCCATCTTCCTCCGCTCTTTTCTGCCGATTTCTTTCTCTGTCTATCTCTGTCTCTCGCTCGCTCTCTATCTCTACTTTTCGAGGGAATTGCGAAAGCCATAAGTCAGCTCTTATATTGCCGAAAATACTTTAAAGTGCCACTCGCCTCGCAAACTCATATAGGCGCACCTCGAGAACGAGCGCTTAGTCTCTTACGAAAGCCTAGACATGTTTTATCGCTGCTGTTAAACGGACAACAGAAGAATGACACACACGCCGAACGGAGGTGGATGCGCTTTCGGGTGACGATTTTTGAAGAGCGCGATGCGCCCGGGATCGTTAAAATCGCGCGGGGAGAAAAAGCGCGAAAAAGAATAACGCTCCCTTCGGTTATTTATAACGGACATTTTTCTCGAGGCACTTTACGAGCACGCAAATATTGCGCAAAACTATTATATAATTGTGCAAAATAAATACGCGGAAATAATTTGTCATATTATCTTTCGCTCTTAGTATATCCAATTTTTTTTCAATTTTCATAATTATAGCTTTAAAAATATATGTACGTAAATTTTCATACGCGCACTATATTAATTTAGCGCGAAACGCTGAATATTAATCTCTGGAAAAAATTAAACAAAAAAGGATATGATTCAGAGAGAAACATTGAATATCTTAAACAAAATTTTTTTCATTTTTATTTCTGCGTAAATTTTATATTATCAAATCTATGTGTTTTATAGACCAAATGCTATTTTCCCGGCTCGAGTGCCAAACGATAATGCAGACTCTATACCATCGAATCATACGTCGAACAAGGGTGGCGCGCATTAGACCCCCGGTAAGCTCGGCCAGGCGGCAGGAAGCTCGGCATATTTTTCTCCCAGTTATCGAGAAAAAAAATAGGAAGGAGGACGGTAAACCGCGATCCCGAAAGCATTTCTCGACGTAACCTAAAATAATGCCCGACAGAATCGAACAAAAGCATGAATTATGGACCGAACCGTCGCCATAGATCTCACCCACCCGGTAACTTATGATACACTTCCTTTCGGCATATGTGAAAGAAAACATTGTAACGCACGTACGACTGCGATTCTTTTGTAATTTAACGGACGCGCTTTCCTCCCGGTCGCGACCTCTTAAGCTTTTTGCCAGGAAGGAACCGTCGAGAGGAGAGTCCTCCGCACAATACTAAGGAGTAACAAAACTGCACAGATGGAAAAAGCGAAAAGCCGATGATAAAGTGGTGCAAAACCGTTTGCCGGTTTATTCTCTATTATTATTATTGTCGTATAAAATCAGCAAAGTTCTTCGCTGATTCGACGAAACGCGCGTAACAAAGTAATCTTATCGTTGTGAAAGGAATTTCTCAATAATCGTTCTGGAATAAATTTCTCAATCGAAAGAGATAAACTTTTGTTAAATAAATAAAATCCTTTTTCTTCCATTTTGAGATATTGAGGCGTCTCGTCACTGGGAAATTAACCGTCTATGAAACTTGGCGGTTTCTCGTGTATAATACACAACTTAACGGAACACCACGTCAACTACGACGATGATCGACTGGAAGTTTCTTCGAGGAAGTCAGCGCGCCGCGACTCGTAGACGTCGTTTCGTCGCCGGCGGTAATTTCACGATTGATTCGCCATTAGATTCATGGCCCTCATGAGGAATTCATCGGCGAGCGCCCGGCCGCCGAAACTCCTCGTCGGCCATGAATACTTAGCCGCTCTCTGATGTTCGTTTCGATCGATTCGCGTACGAGCCAAGAGTGTCCGAGGCTCGTTGACCCCCCCTCCCCCCCTTTCCAATCCCTTCCTCCCTCTTCCCACCCATCCCTCCCCTCTCGCCGTCTCCTCTGCCCCCCCTCGCGTTTTCGGCCGGTTCCAGTTTGCTCTCTGCATAGGCGCAAATTATAATGCCGGGGCTTAGAGACCTCCACTCTGACAAATTACAGGTTTGTTCTCCGGGCAACGGGAGATAGATTTCGTCGTTCCATCACCGTCGCTTCCAAGCGGACTCACGCGCGGGCATGCATATTAATTCGATTTTAATCTAAATCTCCCTGGCGTCGCGCGCCCGATATTTTTTGTTGTGTCATAATAATATTTCAAATTATTCAATAAAGCACAATTTGTCGGAGAGTAGAAAAGGTGATTACTTTTATCGCCCATTAATTAGCTCACTAATGATTCTCTAAGCCCCGAAACGCACAATAATCACGCGATCGATATTAATGAGTGTTAAATTACAAGCTCGTCAAATTGAGCGCACTTGATTTATCACGCGCTTAATTGCAACCTTTATGAACCGATGCTTCCGATCTCCACAAATCAGCGTGCATTCAGAGTCGGTTGGAGGCAGCGGGATCGTTATATCCCGTCACACGCGCAATCCTATTCACGTACACGTCGCGACGTAAGGAAGGTTCCTTCGCGTAAGACGACGCCGTTTCCGTCTGCCGTTTCCAAGCGGGACGGGGACGACCGGCCGCGGAATTAATTGCAACAACCGTGTCTTAATTGATAACGAAGGGCATTAAGATTTCGTGTAATGCCTGCAGCGAAGAAAGGAGGCATGGACGGACGAGCGTAGGAGCGAGGAGAAGCCAGGAACAGGAGGAGGATCCTCGACGCCGAAGAGCCCAGACTAACGGCCGACTACGCAAGGGGGAGGTGAAATAATGCCGGGCGCGAGAAGCCGTATTTGCATTAGCTATTCGTTTGACCCTAAAAACTGTCTGAATTGCACCGATGGCTGCTCGTAAAGCCCCGGCAATATCGCGGCGAATCGCGCTCCTCAGGCGTGCCCGAAATCCGAAACTCGGAAGCCGCTACAACGGCTCTCACCCGCGCGAAAATTAATGTCGCGACCCAGAGGCGCAGTTCCTCGCCTTCTTCCCGAATGGCTCAGACTCGCGGAAGAAGCGAGTAGGTTATTGTAAGAGAGAGAGAGAGAGAGAGAGGGCTTTACAGCCGTAGCGCAACGCGTTAATATTACCCGAGAGATGCGGTGTTTACGTGCACGTCGCATATTTATTTTCTGTATCTTTTTCTCCTGCGTTACGGAGTGATATATGTCTGCGATAAACGGTAATGTACGATTAACAAAATAATAAAAAGCGCAGATATTCCTTAAATAATTAATTTACGGAAGATTTTAAATAAACCAGAATAAAACTCCGTATAACAGAAAATGTCTGCATTAAAACATTAAATATTGACGCAGAGTAGAATCAATAAGTCAACGGCGAATACACGCTTATACGACGTTCATGAATTAATCAGAAAAAAAGGCGACTCACCGTGCCGCTGCCGGGGTGATCGCAGACGTTGCAGGACGTCGATCCTTTCGTCGATCGCGTGTCCACCGCCGCCGACTGGAGGGGGAGGAGACGGTTACAGCCATGACGAATATAATTCTCGGCGCACAATGTATCGGACTTTACGAGTGCCCACCTAGAAAAAGAAGAAATACGAGGTGATGAGATAGCTGCGGCGAGACGCGGAAGAGCGGAGCGAGGGGAGGGGAGGGCGAACAGCAAGAACGGCGATGGAAGCACTCAGATTTTATTACGTTATTTTGTTAATGCAGCGAGTGAAAAGAGAGAGAGAGAGAGGCGATCCACGCGCCTCGAATGTCCGGGACACAAAAATATTATGTTCCTCGGTCAGAAAACGGGCCATGAAATCTTTTTATACCCTCCGCGCCCTACAAAGCCAACTCCAGCTTGCAAAATTTCACCTATGCGTCTCCCGCCTAGACTGTCGCCAGCATCGAGTCGTTATAACCTATCTTGTCGGAAGATTCGACATCTCGAATCAAAAAATGTGCAATGTCATCGAAATAATTAATTATTATTACTTGCCTTTATCGACATGTCGACCGGCGATGCACTCGACACTCGCAACGCGTGATTATGTACACTCCCGAACAGATAAATAACGAAACACGATCGCCCGTAACTCGCTCGACACTCACGAGATACGTTAGAAAAAGTCGAAAGACCGCGGCAACTTCATGCCGATGCTCGAAGATACGGCAAGCGAGACCGACGCGACGAGGCAGGCACGATTGATTTTACGAATATTAAAAACTAGTAACCGCGATCGCGCTAATTAACATTCCACAATGATTGCCTACCGCTCAATTTCGATATTTTCCATGTTCACGAGACATGTCTGAAAAGTTCGAAGAATGCGTAACCTCACGTCGATACGAAAAACACAACTGACTTTATAGATGATATTGAAAGTTGAAATTAGCAATCCTACGATACGTTAATGTACGACGATCGTATGTTGTTGTCAACATTCAATATTCTTGATATTTATTTACGCGCAGATTTGCTTCAAATACAAAAAACGTGCACAAGACGCTCACTCGCATTCAACACCTTTGCCATCGACATGAAAACTAACTGCTACAATTGCGAGATCTCGTGACGTCACATAATCATGTGATCAAATTCAAATATTGCTGAAAAGCAATGCCGCGAATTTTCATTGTCGATACTAACTAATTACACAATATATCGCGATATAAAATAAAATAGCATAATACATACATATATAAAGTGTCTAATTATTAGTATAATAAAAATTTATAAAGAAAAGTTATATTTTTTTTAGAATATAAAACAAACTCGTAAAATAGATTAATTAAAAAAATTTTTTAAGAAATTTAGATTTGCGCAATAAACTAATTGTATTCAATTAAATTTAATTAAATTCTATTATTAAACGTGACGTTATTAATTATTAAAACTGAAATGTTATAACGTTTCTCTTTTATTTCTTTAACGTAACGTGACTTTTCTTCTGAATATTTCCTTTCAGCGATTGTGCCAACAAAGTGCATAAACCCCTTCTTTTAAAAGCAGCGACGGCTTTTAGCACGTAAAAGCAAGATTAATAAAGAAACCACAGCATTGTACCGACAATAAGATACTGATAAGCGGAAAATATGTTATAACACAGTGCAAATAGGAACCGCTACCGGCAAAAATAGTCATAAGCAGTTGCCGCACGTACGCAATTTTTGCCGTGACGATGCTTTTTCGCGTTTCGCAGATTTTTGCGCAAATATTGCGTGCACAAGCGATTTAAAAGCTCCTATCCAACGATAATGTTCGAATTAAATGTCAGATTTTCAGCGTCATAAGAGAATGTGTGGGGAGCGACAGACCTACGTCTGTCAATAAATATATCCGAAGGTATTTTAACAGCGGTAATAATTTTTATCGTGCTATAAATCAACGTGTGAATACGATGTACGAAGGGTGCACATTTCGAAAACCTTTTCGCGCGGAGAATTTGGCACTGAAGAATGAGTTTCGGTACATTGATGTCTGGCTCTCCGTCTCTGTTTATAATAAAACTTCTAATAAAATTATATCAATCTAAGCAGTTTTAAAATCGTAATATTTAAATAAAATATATAAAATGTTTTTAAATTTGATAATGCAAAACACAAATGCGTTTAAGAACGATATAACGATATAGCGTGTGAAACGTAACTTAGGGATATAAAGTAAATTGTGTATACACTTCTACGTGCAATGGGAGACTCTAGTGGTTCGTCTAGCATTCCTGAAGGTTTACGTGTCATATCGATTCTGCAGCAAACATGTATACGACGACGGTAGCCTCAGTGAATTCCTTGCATGAGTCACGGGAAGTACCAGTACGTCTCTTGCTCCACTTGAGACCAGATAATCACGCGATCGTATAAACTGCAAAGGTACTTGGTGGCACGTTTTTTTGATAGAAGTTTAATATACTTTTACGTAGAACTCGTGATAGACATCAAATAAACGTTTTTAGCTAGAAAGCGAGCATCATTATTAAATGCATCATCAAATTTGCATAAACAAATTGACACATAATTCTTTCTTATCGCAAAATACAATCATTGCAAATATTATAATTTTAAATAAGCTGCGTAAAACGCTGCGTTCTTCTTTTAAATAACAAATTAAAAAATATCTGATCTTTAGAACGAAATAAATTCGACGCGGTGATCGCGAAATTCAAATGACATCGTATTATTAAATTTACATGAATCATCAGTCGATGCGATTTGCTGCGCTCATGAGAATGTGACAGCGAATCCGTCACGAATTACCATCACCCTCGATACACGGCCGACGTAGTGAGGTATGCTAACAAAATGTCAAATTAAAGAAGCGTTTACGTCGCGTTGGCTAATGGTTTTCCGACGAGCACGAAATAAAACATCGTACGAGATAATTCGACAGCCGTGAAAGCACGTGGCCGCATCGTTAAGAAACACGTCATGTATACCTGCGACGAGAGCCAGGAGAAGTGGTTTACATGTTTACCCTTGCATTTACATATCGCAGTAATAGGCTCGATGCGCAATACGACATCGTATGCACGGGAAAAGACGATACATCATAATTTCAGGCTGAAGATCGAATCAATCACTCGCTTATACGTGTATCATATACGCACTCTTCGTTGAATAAAGTTTCCGTTAAAGACAATGTCTATACTCTTTTTTAACAAGCTAGATTATTAATGTATCATTTTATCATTGTTATTATATAATAAATCTTTGAATAATTAATAGTAAAGACAATATACATTACTACAATCAATTTTCGATTCAAAACTACGATATAAATGCGCAGAATGCATTCCCTTAAATATGTCGATAAACTAATAAAGCATAACGAGGTATATCCTGATCGACTCCCCTTTTAATTTTTCAATCCCTATTTTTCCTTTTCTGACATTTTCCAGTCGAGAGCATTAAAAAATCGATAACAAACGAGCTTAAAGCTGGAATCTCAATAATAAATTATGTGTGCGCAAAATGTTCATACTTTCTAAATTTACATACAAAATATATTGCATATACGTATGGCAAATAACATATATATAATAAATTTATAACTAAGTATCAATGTTAAAAAATTTTATTTTTTAAATATGATTATTTGTTGACAGATTCTTATGTAATTGATCCTATGTTGAACATACCTTTTCGTGAACAAAAGAATAAATGAGATGAATGTCATATCAAAATGTAAAAAACTATTTTTATCTTATTATACTTTATATATGATTAATAACCCAATTTCAGAATAGTTCCTCTAAATGAAACTGGATCAAAAGTAAATAAGTTATTAATTGGAGCGTGTTTCTGCGAAGCTGCTTTAATTATTTCCTGAGCCATGATACCACCGACGATAGAACAAGCAGGACTAAGTTGTGCATACAATTCACTGTAGCTACAAAAATATATATTATCATATAAACTCTAAAAAATTAATTAATATACATATATGCTAACTATGTTATATACATACTTTGTTAAATTTATGTTATCTCCTAAATCGTATTTTTTTACGATTGCGGAAATTTCATTTTTTAGATTCTCACAATCTCTTTCACTAGGCAATGGATCTTCACCATATTTTTCACGATAATTCAGCATTGCTAAAAAAAATCATTTTTTAGAATATCCAAGTCCAAAATTTTAATTAAAATTTATTTGAAACATACCTAGCATCAAGTAATAAATCTCTTCATTTTTAGGTAAAGACGATTTATTAACATTTAAAATAAACTCAAAAGGTACGAATTTATCAGTACGTTTTTCATTAACTATTATGGTTTCAAACTTTTCTTTTTCCATAGGTTCGCCACCTTCTAATATTTTTACTTTTTTCGGTTTTGCAACATCCCTGGAAAATTGTTCATAATTTGTTAATAAAAACCAACTCTTAATACACAATTGTCAAATTTATAAATATAAATATACTCACTCTCCATATTCGTGTTCCTGTAAATCTACAAACACATATCCAAATAATCCCCATACATCTCCAGCAAAAAATTTGACATTCTGATTACTGCAAGCTCGGTTGATTCTCTTTAGTTGTGTGATAGTGCAATGCATAGCACATACTACATTAAACTGTCCAAAATATTCATCAGGTTTATCATCAACTTTAGCTGAGTCTGCGTTAACATCAACCATAGGATTCAAATTTTGTGCTCTTGGTAAAGATGCTTCAGCTCTCTAAAAATTTTAATATATATTTTTTATGATATAATTTTTGTGGTATAATGGTATAATTTGCAGATATTTACATTCTTTCCAATATCTTTTTTTGGCACAAAAAATTGTGAACATCTATCTATATTTGTTACATTTCTATGATCTAAAAATGTAACAGATTTGACACCAGCTAGAATAATATTTTTAGCAACCTCTGCTCCAAGACCATCTAGACCTATGAAAAGAACTTTTGCAGCTCGCAACCTGCAAAAAAATATAGCTAGAAAATATTTTAGAAAATAATAGTGCTTCAACAAAAATTTCAAATTACTTATACAATAAAATATTTTACTTACCCATTATAAAATATACAATCAATAAATAATAAAAAGACACACATTAAATAAAAAATATTTTTGTAGTTGCATATTACATACATAATTTCCAATTTTACAACACATGTTATTATAGGTTAAGTATGATAGACTTACCGTTTTTGTGAGTCTAAACCCCACAGACGAATTTGCCTGTCATATAATTCGGCTTCGGCGTCTGTGAGCTCTTCATTGTTCTGTTTTTGATCTACCATTGCGAAGTACTTTCTATTTAACACTGTAAAAATTAATGCCGCCAAAAGCGTCTATAAACCTTTCAGCTTTCAACAGTCAATAGCTGTTTTCGTAGCTGTACTATGTTACACTTTCTACATTCAAAATGAATCAGATGTCTGATTCAACGTTTGATAGAAAGAGAAAAGATACGACAATCCTAAAGAAGTGCAACTGCGGGAAGCAAGTTTAAAATGGCGTTGACTCATTGTGCCATCTACTGGCATAACGCATGAATTTGCAACACCAAATAAATTACTGTCGTTGATTGTTAAAGGGGCGTCAAACAGTTGTTGATTGTCGCGTAGATTGTGTATTCTTAAATTTATGGATGGAAGAGACGTGAGGAGTAAATGTATCTGTTTCAAATTTATATAAAACTTATGAAATAGCATTATTTGTTTAATGATAGTACGAGGAAATTCCGTACATGCTGGAACAGAGGTTATATTTGTTAACTACAGTTGACAGTTCGATCATCTGATCGAAACATATGATGGTCACATGACATATATATCGATGAAACAATGAATGTAAGTATATCATTCATTATTTTTGAACTAATGTTTATTTACTGTGCATTTAGTATTTTTGCATTTATTCCACAAAGTTCGCACTAACGCCCCCCTGAATCGGTAAAGTAGAAAAATATCCTGGCATAACGTGTCTTGGCTCAAGAAAATTTTGTATATACATACTATTTTATTGTTTATATTATTCGAGAACTGTCTCTCTAATACTCGATATGAAAAATATATCATTGGATTAATGTTGGAATAGAACTGGAACAATTATTATAATGCTCTAAAAATATTCTTCAATATTTATTTTTTGTTAATATTTTGCAATTTTTTTCCATTCAATAAACATGTTATATTTTACATTCGCATCTATTCAATTTATAATGTTTACAGATATTACATTTAGACAGTAATTACAGACTTATGTTACAATATGCATTCAAATTAGGCAATCAAAATTCATAATTAACAGCCATTATCATTGAAATAAATATAGACAATAAACATAATCAATCTGCTACTAAGAATTATCTTTGCCCTCTTAATCCGAATGTTGTGAAAGCTGACCTTGGTAGGATAAGCGCACCCACTCTTTTTAAGTCTCGTAATATCTACATACATGCTGATAAGTCTTAATTGTGTGGAATTTATTACTCTAATCAGTTATTAACTGTTTCACATAATTATTTTCCTGTAATACTTAGAATACATCACTTTGTATTTACACTACTTTTTATAAATGTTATTTTGAAGTTTATATAAAACAATTAATCTTATTAAAGGCAATGAATAAAGCAGAAGAGGAATACATCGAGAAGACATTTATCTACAAGTTTCCAACATGTACTACCAATCAAGAATATACATTAGAAATTCCAATAAAAATACCATATCATGGTTCCATAAAAGAATTGATGCATCGCATAATGTCATCGTTCAAACTACCATGTTATGTGGAATCAGACTTGTTAGAAGCTCTGCAAAGTAATATCAAAGAGCTTACACTGCAGTTTCATGATGAAAAAGCAGAAAAACTTATTGAAAGTGCCAAAACAGGCACTCTAGATCTAGAAGACATAATTAAAAACTGGGAGAAAATATACAAACAGAAAACAGCAGAATATTCTGATCCTATTGGCACCACAGATGAAGAATTATTTGCAGCTGCATATCATAGATTAGTGCATTCTCCATCTTTAGAACCAATTTTGCAAGCGGAACACAAATTTGGACGGGATGTCACGGAAGTAATTCAAATGAGAGACACCGACTATGAGCATCTCACACAAAAGTTAGTAGAAATCTTACAATTTCTTTCTGTTTCTTATATTTTTCAAAATGTACACTTTGTATATGTTTAAAAAATGTAAAACATATAAAAAATTATTTAGAGATATTAATTTCACTTGGAATCTTAATAAGAAATGAAAAAAATGAAAAGTCAATTTTGGGACAGGATTTTATACAAATTCCAGACAAACCGACGAAATGCGCGTCGCCGTCGAGGCTCTTGAAGCAGGATCTACCGAAAAATCTATAAACGACATGGCAGGTCGTCATTTTGAGGAGCAGAGTTTATTGCAGGGTTATTGGGGATCCAGGGTCGATGCTTTGAGATTAGATCAACGGCGGCAGTATCGGAATTGGATCATGAGATTGCTCGAGGAACAACAGACCAGTATGATACCCTCGCCGATGTAAGTTTTGTTTCTTGTGTTTCGGTTTTTAGTAATTCGCGTGACAATAAAATTTTTTAAATTATATATTGAGATAAAAAAATATATCTTTCACGCAGGGGTTCACCTATAGTACCGTTGCCACCATTGCGTCCCGCTTTAGACAAATTCGTTCACAGCGAGGAGAAACAGACGGCCGATTATCCTCTATTAGAAGAAAGCTTCACCATACATTTGGGATCCCAGATGAAACAAATGCATAATATACGTATATTAACCGGAGACGTGCTTGATTTTTGCCGTACGAAAAATAGTGAATCCGGGTGTGTGTCTTAATCTTGATCAAATCCTAATTAAATGTCCTGTCCTAAATTAACGTTTTTAATAATGCAATCTCTCTTTCAATTACTTATAATAAAAAATATATTAAATTTAGGATGGATCCAACGCCGCAAAGATTACAAACAGCTTTAGGATTATATTCGAACGATCTGTGTGGATTGGTTCTCCTAAGCGATAATCATTTAGGCTATTCTGGAATTACAAAAGGTACCTTTTGGAATATAATAGATTACATCAACGATGCTAAAAAAATTTTGGCAAAACGCTGCTGCTCTAAATTAAAAATTTTACTGTTGCAGAATTATGCTCGATATGTCAGTTAACGACAGAATTCCATTTCCCACCGATTGATGAGCAGTTGGAAAAAATTCGGGAAGATGTAAAGGATGCTGTTGCCTGGAGGCAGGCGCATTACAGAGAAGGAAGTGACCCACATGTAAGCGGCATTAGAAATTTAAATTAGAATTATAATATTATGCGGAAAAACATACTGTATATATTGTTTACACAGACGAAAAGATCCACGACGAGCAAAAGCTTACAAACTGGCGATGTTTTTATCACGAGACACTCCAATCTGGCACAAGTTCATGTAGTATTTCACATGATAGTGAATGATTCTTTAAGATCTGGTAATTACCTGAGTATTTTACTTTTCATATTACACATGATTTATAACTACATGCAAATATTAATTTTAGGCGATATCAACTCGAGACATCCCGCTATATTGGGATTAAGAAATATTTTGAAAACGGCGTGTTGCAACGATGTGACTACGCTGACAATTCCCGTATTGCTCGTCCATGAAATGTCAGAGGTAATTTACCGCTTAGATAAGTCAAACGAATAATTCTTAGATAATGAAACGAAAATATAATTAATTTAAATTGACATGTTGTCGTAGGACATGACGGTCGCCTGGTGCACGAAGCGAGCCGAGCTAGTTTTCAAATGCGTGAAAGGATTTATGATCGAAATGGCATCCTGGGGTGGAGCCGAATTGAAGAATCTTCAATTTCTCGTACCGAAAGTAAGTCTGACGATAAGCGCAATCCGGCTGAGATTTAAAAACAAATATAAACGTACCAACGGTGTTATCGCTTGCAGGGAATGTCCGAAGAAGTGTTCGGAACATTAGCCACAATGTTGCCTAGCATATTTCGAGTGTCGAATCCGCTGGTTTTCAAGGCCACCAGCACCCCACAAACCCCAAAAAAGTGAACGATTTGCCCATGTTATCGTTGCATGCACTTGGAACATTGCAATGTTTACTGTACATGCAGCCGTGATTATCTGCAGTAACAATTATTCGCCGTGGGCGTGAAAAAGATACACTTTGTGAATAAATTTCTGACTTTTAATAAGCTCTCTTTGTTTATATCACTTTCATGCGATTAATTTCTCATCTCGAATCAATTCAATATTTCCAGTGCCATAAAATAAATAACAAATAAATGTTTTTTTCATCAAATACTGCAGGATTTATTCGATGTATATTTTATTGGTTCTGCTCTCTTTCAATATTATTAATAAAATGTTTACACTGACTTTCCTCATTTGAATTAATTTCCTAAATCTACGCAATACACTGCGTTGTATATCAAGAAGTATATAATATTTACGTATATAATTTTTTATCTGTAACATTTATTCAACATAGAAAAATATATATAATTTTTTAAAATAATTACTAAGAAATAAAAGCTATGAAAAGCCAAGCTGAGTATAGTTGCTCCTTTTCATTTATTAATAATATTATATTTCCACAAACGTTTCGATCATTCAGGTTGTGATCATTATCAGTGTGTCTAATTACAATTACAATTAAAATTATCCCATTTGTTATTCTAACATACTATCTGACCACACCAATTAGTCCGCCAGTTGTTTACAAATTTACATTAAAATTATAAATTATAAAATTATCATCTGCGGTTTTGTTATTGAAATCTGTGAAATCCATTTCCGTCTATGTAATTTTTTATTCTTTTCCAAAACATCAGTCCATATCTTTTTACAATTTAAGTGTCACTTTGTGATTAATTACTCCATATGTGTATGATATAAGGAATAAATTCTTGTCAAACTTGATAAATTGTCGTTATATAAGTATAGAATGAACTTGTGACTTTCATAGTGGAATTCACTATGACAAGAATTTATTCCTTATATCATACACATACTGTTTTATCAAGAAATATTATAAACGGCAAATTTTATAGAGTAATCAATCACAAAGTGACACTTGTAAAAAGATATGGACTGATGTTTTCGAAAAGAATAAAAAATTACATAAACGGAAATAAATTTTACAGTAGATTTCAATAACAAGACTGTAGATGATAATTTTATCATTTATAATTTTAAATTTGTAAATAACTGGCGGACTAACTGGTGTGATCAAATAGCATGTTAGAATAACGAATAGGATAATTTTAATTGTAATTGTAATTAAACACACTGATGATAACCACAACTCGAATGGTCGAAACGTTTGTGGAAATATAATATTATTAATAAATAAAAAGAAGTAACTATACCCAGCTCTTCATAGCTTTTATTTCTTAGTAATTATTGAATAATAATAGAGCCAGAATATAAATTAACTTTTTACTTATAATTTATAAAATAAGAACGCATTATCATAATTGGTTAAATAACTTCAATAAATTGTTAAATAATGTGTTTGCTCATTACTACATTTATTATAAAATAATTTTAATGTACTTAATATTTCTTTTTTTAATAATTTTTTAAAAAAGCTAAATCAGAATTAATCATAATATGTAATTTCTAAAACTATAATTTTTTAGAAATAACGCATTTTTTGAAAATAATGTACGGTTTTACACGTAATTCTTTAGTAATATGTTAATGTTGCAATATGATGCATGAGCAATATTATCGCCGTTAGACGTGCGATACGGAGAGCGAGGTTTATCACTTAGCTGTATTTTTATTCTGTGTGTGGACATGACAGAACAGATATTCTAACATTTCGGACGTGAACGTCATCGCAAAATGCAGCGTTTAACTCTCATCGTATTCTAACGAATCGTAAATTTTGCAAACTCGAAAATACCATTCAAAAGCTGTTTAATTGTAGAAATATGTGTGATTAATTGTGGTCAGAGAGACAACCGCTGACTAATCAAATTCGTCGATTTTACGTGCGTGGCATCGTAATCACTGGTTTATCTGAAAACAGTACGTTAGCCTCGACGATTCTGAACTTCTGACCGAGGATGGATTAAATTAACGCAATGACTCGCGGCGCCGGCGGGGTTATTTTGCGAAAATATATTTGCCTCCAATCACAGCAAATACGTGAATTCGATACGTCGATAGCGTCCGAGTTATCGAATTCCAATAAATAAAATACGAATAGCTAAATTTGCTAATTAATTATGGTTGATTTATTGTTTCTCGACAGTATTTAAAATATTAATTTGTATACAAATAAGAAAAAAAGAGCAATAATGACAATCGTCACATCGATGTGACCAAATAATTTTATTTGTCGACTAGATTGTGTCTTTGAAGAGGAAAAGTCGTGATTCTCTGCTGACAAACAGCAACACGCGTAAATGAGAACTACGTGCGTATCGGAGTGCGGTATGCAGTATAATGCAGCTGATTTTTGCCCCCCTCCCCTCTTTTAATTCGGCACTATATTCTTCGGCAGAGAGTATCGCGGATAAATCCGTTGCCATTCCATCGGATCGTGGTGTAGAAAGCGTAGTTCGCGCTAGGTGGTCCTGGTGGTGCGGTCGGTCGATCAGGTGCATCGAAATCGGATCGCTCCAAAAATCGATTAATCAGATAACTACCACTTGGCACGATGTGGCTCGGCTCGCTTACGTTTTTGACCATCGTCGTTTCGCTCATCTCGGCGAAAACGTTAACGGTGGGTGTTCTCTCACGGTGATTTCCGTCTTTTAATCGCACCGTCATCGTCGACAATTGTTTTACGATTTTCCGGGACAGCCGCTGGCACTCGTCGCAAGTATCAACTTCCGGTCGCGCTTATCGCTTTCTTAAATTCCATCTTTTTTTTTTTCTTTCTTGCGGGAACAATCGCTGCTCGCGGTTTAAATGTGTTCCGCTTCAAAATTTATATTTTAGATTTGTATACGCGAAACGTTCTCTTTTCTTATTTTCGTAAAATTACATAAAATATTAAATTCAAGTGAGAGTCAAAGAATCGTTTTGTGAATGAATGAAAATATATTAAACCAATTTGCGTTATAGGTTGATCTATCATTCCGCAAGTTAACGAAAGAAGATTTCTTCGTGAAAATACAGTCCCAGTATAATCTACATGAAGTGACAGATCTCAATTTAAGAGGAAACCAGTTTGACAGTTTCCTGGACTGTTCTACTAATTTAGAAAATCTGAGAACGTTGGATCTGTCTCAAAATCATCTTCAGCGATTCTTTTTCCTCTGTAAAGAGGAATATAATTTGCAAGTGTTAAATGTGAGTCACAACAAATTAGAGTACATCGACGACAATGCTTTCAACGACCGGATACCGAAATTGAAGATATTAGATATATCCTTCAACAAACTCACGGTGGTCAATGAAACGATGTTGCAACATTTCACGGTAATGATAATTTTAATTGAAGAAATATTAATTTTTTATAAATTTTCTAATGTATTTCGAAAACTCGTGAAAAATTATCTATTGAAAATTATCTATATGAAATCAATTTCAGCGCTCTTCAATCTAAATCAATTAATTTAATCTAATCTAATCAATTAACTCTTTTCAGATCCTCGAGTATCTATCTCTGTCTAATAATCCTATAGAAGATGGAATACACGAGAACGCGTTTTGGAATTTGAAGACGCTGAAGCATCTCGATTTGAAGAACATATCTGCACCGTATTTCTCATCCGACTTTTTCAAGACCTTGACTAACTTATCAACCTTAGACCTATCCTGGAACCCAATCAGCACGATACCCCTATTGCCGATAAGTTTGCAGGAGCTGGATTTATCCGGCACTCAAGTGATAAATTTCGCAAATATGTATTTACCGCAACTGCGAGAATTAAGGCTGAATTACATGTCGAATTTAACGTCGCTGGCCCTAAACGATCTCGAAAAACTGACGAACCTGGAAACGTTATCAATGATCGGTTGCAAACGGCTGATTCAACTAAGTCTTCAGCCGCAGGCAGGTGTTGTGCTGCCACGATTGCAGCATCTCTCGATAAAAGAGAGCGGCCTTGAAACTCTGGGCACCGAACTGCGCGCCTTGATGCAACGAACACCTACTATCGAATTGGAAAACAATCTCTGGAAATGCGATTGCAAATTGGAATGGATCGCTTTGCTAAACTCGACGAAAATTCTCAGTCGAGATATCAGGTGAGGAAGATATCATAAATGAAACTGTACTTACTTACAGTTGGTATGAATATCGATTAAAGGTAGAGTAGATTGAACATTTTATTGTCCCCTCATCCGCGTTTATCCTCAAACATTTTTTAATAATTATCGGAAATATTTGTCTTGAAAAATATATTGCAAAATTAAAAAATTACAATTTTTGTACGATATTTTAAATTATTTCTTTCTATGGTCTGTGCAAGTTTCGCTTCTGTGCCTTTAGATGTCTCGAGAATTCCGTGAAGCAAAGTTCTCTTCATTGACATTAGTTTGCTAATGAACTTGGTTTATAGTTTAATATACCGAAACAATTATATGTATATATATATATATATATACATATATAAAACATTGAAAATTTTATTCATTGTTTAAGAATAAAAATACTGCAAGTGCTGCTACAATCTAACTCTATTTCAAAGTATTATATTTTACTGCAAAATATCGAAGATACATATTTTAATAGTTTGTTATAAATTTATACGTCAACAGATGCCTCGTACCGGAGCAACACCATGGCAAACTCCTTGCTGAAATACCGAGCTACGAATTGCAATGCGAATACGACTCGTCGGTCTTGTACCTAGTCCTGTGGACGTGCCTCTCGATATTGATTGTTTTCCTGATCGCCGTCGCGGTTTTATTCCTCCTGAAGCGACCGATAGGCCAATGGAGCTTTAAGGGAAGAAACAGGGACACCGTCACGTACAAGAACGTCGTGGAATCGAACAATGATCTGGTCCGGATATTGGTAGCCGAGACGCACGATCGCAACGGAGAATAAGGCCAAATTGAGATAGAAAAAAGAAAAAATCTCCGATAATATCAGACAAAAATTCGCCTAACAATTAACATTTTTATCGAATTCTTTTTCAAATTTCACACATAATTTACTTCATAATACATTAAGATTTTTTTTACAGTACAGTTTTGTACAGCTTTGTTATAACAATTATCTTGTAATAATATTGTAGCATAGCTGATGAGTGCCATATAAGAATATACTCTATTTTTCCACATTCGTAAGAAAATATGTAACAAAATGTAAATAAGAAAAAGACATCAATATGTAAAACAATCTAAAAATGATTTCTTTGTGATACTAAAATCTTTGTATTATATTAAGATTTTTAAAAACTACATAATTAATTTCAATAATTAATTCTAGGGATATGCTGGTGGATAACGAATTGTTGCGCGTCCGTATATATCAAAAATGAATTATGAAAAGTCACTTATGATACGCCTCGTAAACTCGAATGACCAAGTACCGCGGATTCGATAGTACTCAAAGTACTAGTTTCTAGTGTCCGATAATAATGTGAAACCTCTGTGGTCGAATAAAAACGTTTGTGTGCTTCTTTTTTTTTTCTTTCTGTCAGTAAGAATCGGCGTGTTTTAAAAACCCTTTTACCTTTGTTCCATGCAACGCGTCCGTTGCCGTGGCACAAAAGAAAAGTGGATACAAAGAACGCAATGGCTCATTTGCCCTGAATGACGGCAAGATCCTCTTCCGCGTAACGACGCGGCAACGCGCGTAGCTAAACGCACGAATTATCGTGCGTGGCATCTTGAGAACCGCACGCAACTAATTGAAATTCTACGAGATTCCGCCACAACGGGTTCAGTCTCCGGCAACTCTTTCATCGACGAGCAAAAAGAGTATTCTGCAGCCTTTAGAATCGAAGTCAACCCTGAGCTTCACTCTGATGTTACCTTCTTTAGAAAAGAATAAAAGATATTTCTCGAATATTTTTCCGTTCTTTTGCTCCAGGGAGCAATTAATGGCTGAAAGTTCCTAACAGTCTAACTGGAGGACGTAAAGAGAAACTTACGCTTTATGAGATATTTATAGACTTACATATCGATTAACATTACAACTGTCGAAAAAAAAAAAAAAAAATCTTCACAATCATAATCTCAGTTTACACTTATATTTATCTCGACAATTTTTCCGGTTCGGATCGCTATGAACACGATCGCGCAGACTTGCAATCCAATTAGGCTTCGGTATGCACCCGCGATACACCGATCGTTGATGAAACGTTGAGAGTGCAGGGCGTTACGCGCTCCGTTCCAAGAAGGGGCGCAATATTGGCGTGTTATACGATGAGCCAGCAAATGGTGCTATGAAGATCGTCAGTTTACGTGACGTGCACCGTGATCGCGTGCGATGTAGCGATCAGCCTTTGTATCGAAGTATGATCTTCCTATGGGAGGCCTATTGGGTTACGCTCGGGAGGAAAGAGAGAGAGAGAGAGAGAGAAAAAGAACCCTATGGGCGAGGACGTCGTATTACCGGAGAGTCACAACATGCAAAGGAAGGAGCGCAAAAAATCACTGAGAAAGATGCGTCGCGCTGTGCCGAACGGAAGGCCGCGCTTACAATAACCCTCCATACTGCGGTATGCCCGACATAAATGTGCAGTTCTTCTCTCAATTCTACACTGACACGCCTTTTTTCTGTGCAGAAATGACACATCAGGGTGTGGTAGATCCCGTTTGTCTCTAGCGCTATTTTGTCTCTTTTAATCTACTTGTAATTAGCTTCCTCTCGTATCAGAATGTTCATTGTACAAAGCAATTTGCAAAAATGCTGAATAGAAAGTCAAATTACGGTGATTCTTTTATTATTTTTCAAAGAACGAGATGTAAAATTTTATATATTTTGTCGAAATTTTTTATTTACAAAAATTTTACCTTTATTTTTATTTATTTTCTATTATTTTGTATAGCAGCTTAATTTATCTGAAGAATCACTCTGTTTCGAGGTTAATTCAGTCTCCATTAACGAGAAAAGCATTGCTGCTCTCCAAATGTGTATCGTATATCTCTTTGTACACTGGAACATCAATTCGAACCAGCGAGAACTCCGCACCATTTTTCGCCCGGAGTGCGGGTAAAGCGATTGAACATTGCGGAATATTTTTTTCGCCATGCCAGAGAACGAGCACGGAGTACGGGGGATGAGAGGGAGGTTTCAACGATAGGAAGAGGAGGCGGAGAGGGAGATAAACGATAGAAGTTCTGCCCTTCTCGCGCAGCGGTGTCGAGTGTCCGTAATTCGAGATTCCGTGCGAGCCAATTTGGCGAGAGCCCGATGGAAAAATAATACACCGCCTACCAGCACAAGATATCGCGAGAGCGTGCGGAGGCGAATTTTAACGGTCAATGCGAAACACGTGGGCAGACCATGTCGGGGAATATCATGTTTCGGTCTGTGAGGAGAGGATCCTATCCCCGAGTCTTAAGACGCCCGGATAGCCTGGCTGGCGTTTTGTTGGAAAAACAGCGTGGGCGATATTGCTTGTGACCCGATGACGGCGGAAGATACTTGCTCCCAAGTATTTAGCCAAACGAGACGACATATATCGACACCTTGGGACAACCAATATCCCACTGTGCCTCGGAGTTCAAGAGGATAAGTGTCTAAAATAGATCAGCTTTAATAGATTGCGGTAAGTTGATACGATAAATTTTCCGTGATCTTATACATTTTTCACCGAATTGTACAATAAAAATACTGCGGTACAGTTATTGATGAAAATGTTTGAAAATTTATCACGCTTCTTTGAGTGTTAATTCTCAATTTGCCACAATCTGTTAAAGGCGCTTTATGAAAAGCGCGCTGCACATCTGAATAAATTAGATTGTGCGCGAGTTAATTTTTTTCACACGTGTGAATGTAAGTTTTGCCGAGCAACGGAAAAATTTTCCGAGTACGCACTTCGTTAATCAAGCGCAGCTGACTTAGCGCTCGGCGAAACATATTTTTGTAACAACCCTCTATATTACGATTCGTTAAGCCAGCGTCTGCATTAACTAAGCTAATCCCTTAATTACGTTCCTCTTATTTCTCTTCGCTTCTTCCCTCCCAACCTTCCGGCGGCGACTCTCACGCTTCCTACATCATCCTTCACTTGGTAATTAAAGAATTTGATGAAGTCTCGCGGTGTATATGCGCGGAAAAAAAACACACCTGCGAGCAAGTAACTTTCGCACGCGTTATACAGCATGATATACAACATTGTTGCTTTTGAGTCGCCGCATAATTTGCCGTGCTTAAACATCACACCGATTCAATTAACGTAATCAACGAATAATTATCAATCGCGAAAGAGCTCTATTTCGCACATTTAATAATAACACATATTATGATGTAGTAAACACGCGAGATAACGTCAAACTTTAACGAGAATATTACTTCATTCATAACGCGCATCTCGCAACAACATTATGATCAATTAATTAAATCTCTCCGACTTTCTCTCTCTCTCTCTCTTGACGATGCCTTTATAATGTTACACGCGTAACGGACATCTGTCTTTACGTTGAACCATATTGCGTACAAGCGGATACTTACAAGCGCGTATCCGAACGCGCGTTTTGCCGCGTTGCGTCGGCCGAAAACAGCCGCATGCCGCGGAGTGCCCGCCGATTTTCGCCGGCAGGGTTTTATCTGATTAAACCGACGTAGAAACATGGGGTTATACGTGTAAGCTTTCCGGACCCGTCTATGGGGAGAGGCCGAACAAATGAATAATGAAAATAAAACCCTGGTGATGCTATCGGTAAGCACCACGGGATTACGTACGCATCAGCGCGCCCGCGATGAACTTATATTATGGAACCCCCGTATACACTAACACGTGCGTTAATGTGCGCGCATAAGCGCGCGAGTGCGTGTGGGCGCGTGAGACCGCAAAAGAAAGGCGAGTGAAAGAGCCTTTCCACGCGCAAGATTTTGCCAAGTTTCTCGCGTGTCGGAAGGATTTGAATGACAAATCGCACAGACAATTGGAACATCACACACTTATGTGATAAAATCATTTTGTCACATAAAAAAAATATGTCATACTTTATGTGTTAATAAAATATTTCATAAAGTGAAATCTTTGTGTACATTACTACTGATTATACGAATGATTTCGAATCCAAATCTTTTAATTCTATTAGATAAAACATTGCTGATAATAATCTGATAATAATCATTGCAAATCACTCCATACTATTATTTTATCCGATTAACAAAATACAGTAAGATGCAACAAACAAGAAATAACGCACAACACGACAATGATTTAAGCGTCTTACTGCTCGTGGGGCATCCATTCACGTGTGTCCGCGACTGTCGTGTGTGGATATTTTTGAATGGTCACCTTTCGAATGAAAGAGAGTTGTGCTGTGGGGTGTAAGTGTCATGGCTGTAATAGTTGCCAAATGTGTCCTGCTCGTTGGAACACGCCGATTATGTCAAAGTATGAATTTACGGGCACAATCAATAGCCGATCGTGCACACAAAGGAAAGTCCCCACGGGCCAAGCCGCTTACGATCAATACCTCGATCCTTCGATCTCATCCGGCGTCCAGCCGGTGAGTGAGAGTGTCCATTCCCGACACAATGGTAAGTGTGCAACGAATATGCGAAATATGCTTTTTAAATACTCACCGGCTATTTCTAGAACCGACTGACGTCTCTGACAAGTCTCCGTAAGTCCGGAAAAGGCACGTTCTGGGCACGAAATAACATTGCATTATCTGTCGCGTGCGTTTGTAAACCCTTTCGATCCTCTACTGATCCCAAAGAATCTAGAACAAGCAAAAAATATCGCTTTAATTCTTCAAATTTTTTTCTGTAATGAAAACTGATAAAACACTGATACCTTATACATTCTCCTATTACAACAAGTAAAAGTGCAAACACAGAATCATAAAATAAAATCAAACAAAGCTATCAATCTTTAAAATCGTAAAAAAGTTTAGAATTTATTTACAAACTTCAGTTTTAAGAGATACCGCTTCGAAAGACCACAAAGAAGATGTAGAAAAAAATGAATAACGATCTTTCTTTCTGTGATAGAGTTAAGAAAGGACCCATTACTGAAAATATGTTAATCCTAGAATTTGAGCAAAAGTCACGTTCGTCTTTCTTTTCAATTTTTTTGGTCAAAGCAGACCGCCCATTCAAATAAAACAACGATTTCCAGCATTATAACGATTTCTAAATGTGGTTACAGTTCATGACATCTCTTGATGTCAAGATTTATTGTTAGTTTAGCTTTTGAAACAAGATTCATCACACAGATATTATATGTGACGATCTATAGCGGCAACAAAAACTCGAGAAGTACCCACAGAAATTCTTTTAGTATCCTTTTGGAAAATTCATATATCTCATGTAAAAGAAAATGATTAATATTGCAAATTAACTTTCTTCCTTGCTGTTAAATGAAATAAAAGCTTAACAAAAGTTAAGTCGTAAAATTCAAATATAGCGATATATTTTTAAAGAAATATTATATTCATTAATTACTTATTTTATGTTATTCATAAATTTGCACAACTTTGACTCTGATAGATAGCAATGTCTTGAGAAAAGTTTATTTATAAAAAAATGTCTAAGCAAAATAAAAAATAGATTTTTTTATTATACCATGCGAAATAGATCCGACGAAAATCGCTTCGCAAATCGAAAAAGCATCGCATAAAGACGCATACGAATTTTCGTCAAATCAGTCTTTCCCGCTTTCAAAAAAAAAAAGGGCATAACTACGGTTCACGAAGTGACAACGAGGCGTTTTAAAAGGCCACCCATTCGCCAGGCTAAGATGTAACATAACAAACAGCCCGAGGAAACGTATTTGCCCGGGACGATATCGAGTTCCCGGGCACTTCCTGCGCTTCTTCATCGTTTTCTTCTTCGTGGCGCCGTTGCAGTCGGCGGCGGCATGACATCCCACAGATTGACGAGCGCCACCCCCGAAGACAGCAGGAATAGAACGGTCAGGAGTGCATTTAGTTGCGGACGTGACTTTTTTTTGCGGAACTCCGTAGATAGCGTACGAAAATACACGCGCGACAATAGACTTCTTTCGTGAGAAACATAAAATGTTCGTAGCTGCATGACTTTAATGTCACAGCTACATGTCAAATTAGAAATATTTCTTACATAGCATAATAGCACGTGTGCACAGACAATTCTCTGTTTACGATGGTTAATGCGAAACATAATACAAATTCACACAAAGTTAATATTGTAAGAAAAAAAAATTTTCAGTTTAAAATATGAGCGATATTCTTGTATAAATATTTCATTTGTGTGGAAATATATATCGTTTATACAAAAATTTGCATAGCTATAGCTGGAAATTTATTCACAATTTTTTGGAATACGCTCTTTCGTAAAGATAGAAAGAATTCGCTGCAATAAATTCATTATATTAAAATTGTCGATACATCTCACGCCCATTTGCCTCGTGATTACGTATCTTATGCACGAGCGGACCGCCGACTGCAAATTTCCCGCGGGCTTCACAAAATCGCCAACGGTTCGCGGAATTATCGCCGCATCACAGCGCATTCTTCCCGCGTATTTTGGACGAAATTCAACATTACAAATATCGCGCGGCCGGTGCGACGGCAAAAGCGGCTCGTTGCTGCGGCGTTTTGGTCGACAGGGCTTTGCGCGCGGGCACGAAATTACGGCGGAGGCGTCGGCTGTTAAAAGCGCGATATAAATTCGGAATAGCGCGTACAAGCGACCCCCGGAAGCGCGCGGAAGCGGCGCGGGGGCGGGCGGGCGGTCGGCGCTCGCGCGCGTTCATGATTGCGATAATGCCAAACACAATATCGCGGGAAATTTTATCGGCCGACCGAGCGAGACGGCACGCGTGGAAAACCGTGCGAAAAATAATAATGAGATGTCGACGGAGCACAAGGGAGGACTGGAGGGCGGACGACAGAGAGGATGAGAGCAGAGTGACGGGCGGACGGGAGAGGGAGTAAAACGACAAGCAACAGAGATCGGGAGTGTCATAATAGACGAAGAGGACGGATAGAAAACGCGAGAGAAAAATGTGTATGTGTCAAAATGAGATACGAACCGAGATACGAGCGACGCGGCGGAGAGACGAAGCAAGAATACGAAGGACGAAGAAACGGAAGGAGATGGCAGAAAAGAGGAGGGAGAGCGGAAAATGTGCGAAACGTTTAATCGACATGCAGCGGGCTCTCTCCCGAGGAATACCTGAAAGAGAGGCATTGGAAAAGCCTGTCGGCGCGAATCTCTTCTATTTTGAATATAAAGTGGGCGATGAGATTTTTCCCGCCGCGGGGAAAAGTGCGTGGTGGATGAACGTACGGACAGGCCTTCCGCGCGCGGCGGAGAAATTTTTTAATAAATTCGCTTTGCGCGAACTATATTTTCTCTGTCAGCTCGTTTAACGTTCTGACGAGAGCGCGCGCGCGCGCGCGATAAAAGATTTTTTTTCATAGCGGATCGACGGGCAATCAAATTTTTTAAGGGCGCAGTGAAAGTTGATGGCGTATCTCTGCGGCGGCTCTTTCAGCTCGACGAATCGAAAGAAATTAATCTTGTCGGAAAGATGTCTAAAAATAATTCCAACATCAGTGAAATTAGTCGTTTAATTTCTCCTGTGTGCGACGTCATGAACAATTCAGTTTATTAATACCGATAATATTGCAATATTGCAATATTATCTACTGTACGGTGTATCGCGATAATTGTAAGGCAAACATTGTCAGAACGAAGTCCAACGCACACACCTGTAAAATCACGCGGTCGACATCAATTTAGCCACTCTCTCGATATCCACGAGGTGCCTTTAAAGTGCTCCGAAATCACGGGCGGCCGCAACGAGACGCGATATTATCTCGCAGAAGGGAAGGAGACACGGCCGCAGTCTCCGACTAGGATAGCGGAATTAGTGAGACCCTTGTTAACGACCTCATTAACCCACGGTTATGTTCGTAGGAGGAGGGTCGGTCGGGTTAGAGAGAAGTCGGGTCTGGCCCAGAAAAGTAAAACAAACAAATGGCCATGGCGCCATCGCGCAGATGAGTCCCGTCATCCACCGGTTTCCCCTGCGTCGCCGCCCCTCATCTCTCACGATCAGGTTTTTCTACGGCGCTCCCTCCCCCCCCTAGCAACCCTACAATCTTCCTTCCTCCACCGTCACCTCCTTCCGAACCTTAAATTTCATCCTCGGGACTACCGAGTGGATCCTCTGTAAACACACACCCCGAGGAGGGACTACCCCGTCGGCGCCACTATATGCAGGAGATCTGCGGCTTTCCGAAAATTGACTTTTCGACTGGCGAACTTCGGCTGCCGGATCTACGGCGACTTCCCTCACGTCGGTCCGCCCGAACGAACGCCCGACGTTACGTTGGCAGAGATCGCTGCCGATAAGAAACAACTTGCGTCGAGGACCATCGGGAAAATAATAGGACGACGCAGTGTGATGGCTGGATGCCTCTCGAGACAGCAGCGAAACACAACTGTGTGAATGTGTTAAAACTTTTTAATCTCTAGACACAAGTGAGTCAGCCGCCTCTAACGTTGTGTTTTTATGATATAATTTATAAAGATATCAAAGATAAATAACAAATGGCACGTACTAAATTTATTTTTTGAAAAAATCGAAGCACCTCAAAGCAAGTCTTCGCACTCTTTGTATATTAAAGAAATAACAATCATAGTACTATTTATTTAAGAAAATCTGCCCCCCCCCCTGTTTCAGACTAATATTTTATAAAACCACATGTCACGAATCTAGAATTCTTTTATCAAAATTGCGCATAAATTTTTGTTATAGATTGTGTATTTCCAAACAGATAGAAGTATATACAAAATATTAAATTAAATACTTAGCATGGTATTACAGTCAGAAGTAAAAATTCTTACTAAAATCAACTGCGCACACACAAAAATGTGTCGTGGAATAGTTAAGTGCATACAGCTACAGGCCGCAAAAAAGAACCTGTCGACTCGAATAAGGCGAGAAAAAAACACGACGGAGCATAAAGAGCCGGCTCGGTCTCGTCCAACTGCGAACCTAACTGCGACTACACGAGCCCGTACAATGCGTGATACGTCGCAACGAGGCTACGGGACAAGGAACTCCCCATTAGACGCACGTTAAATAATAAAGCCGCCATATTAGGCGCGGACACCCCATAGTCCGCACCAGCAGAGGAGGATTATCCCACAACGATATCTTGTTCTTCCCCTTCCTCGACGGACGTAACTCCCGTCTGCAACGAGCGCTGCGGACTCGCAACTCGATGGCACGAATGAAAGGTTGCGCGTACAATGGAGGGCTTATGTTCGATAAAATCGGCCTGCTCGTGCCGATTCGCGCCCGAGCCCGATTTTTACAGCCGTAAGCCGTTTACCCGCGAAGACCGATAAATAATTCCGCCGCGGCCCGGTGTATGCGCGATCAACGGTATCAATTGGTAATCGGCGACGGTACACGGTGCCCGATGAAATCAGCACGCCGTGAAAGAGTTGAAACACATCGAACGATTGTGTGTCAAGCATCGAGAGTGATATATCTGAATCCGCGCTTACGGCGAAACTGGGTTAGTATAATAAATCTATCAAGCAGGAGGTGTCGCCGTCCAAATAACGTGGTAAATTGCTCAACATGTGACAGGCTGGCAATACGCAAATTAGTTTGCTTTTCAGACAAGATCAGTACGTACTTGGCACATATTAATCCATTAAATTTTTACTGTTGCCAATTTGAAGATTTTCAGCAAACGATTCCGCGCTCTCTCGACGTCGAACTCGATAAATGAGCTATGAAATTTTTGCTTTATTTTTTCATCCTGTTTATTTACAGAGCACGTGTAGCGTGACAAGTAATTAAATGCTTCTTTTTAACGGCGATAATTGGGCGCGCGTAATCATCGCATGAGGTATTACGTAAAGTCGCAACTGCGACTCGCGCGTGCGAATTGATGGCATATTTAAAAACGTTGAATTGTTTCCACGCGCGTGCTTCTAATCCAACGAGAGTCGAGAACGCGCAGACATCGACGCGGATTGCATTCCATCGCGTAGTCGATGCGACGTAATCGGCTGGGTGCTTCGTACGGTGACGATAGGCGAAGCCACGTAGAACACGCGCAAATACACACACGTGCACATCGCACCGGCATGGTATGCGATGCCTCTCCTCGGTTTCCTGGCGGCGATTAATCTACCCCGTGTAACGATTCCCTCTTGACAGTTCTCATCGCGGAAAGTAATAGCCGCCGCCAGATGAGGAATTCAATGGAGAGGCAGTCTCGCTTGGTTTCGCCACAATATCCACCCACGACAGAACTCTCTCGCGTCGTAAGGCCGACAAATGTTTCCGCTTAGAGCGGCGAACCCTCGCGGCCGCGTGAAAATCGGTGCAGCGAAGGAAAAACAGGCGCCAAGTGGCGACGAAAGTGGAAAGAGAGCTGCGAGAAAGTAAAATGGCTGCCATGCGACGGAATCATTTGTCCTGGGAAGCCTCCGGGTCGGCAAACAAACGACGCCGCACGCGATAGATCGATCCGCGTAATCGAGGGTGGGATGATGGAACGGTGTAATACCCGCGGCCTACCTGTCGTTATCGCGACATTTATCTGTGAGCTATTCCGCGTCCGATATTCTATTATATCCCGCGCGGACCGTAATCCATTATCGGCGCGTCCGTATCCCGCGGTAGGCATGTATGCACGACCTTCGGTATCTGTCCGTTGCGCGTTTATTAATCGCGCCGAGCGAACGCCGAGAGATCATTAAAGACTCGACGATGTGACACCATTAAAGCGCCGGAGTCATCGCCGTTCGACCACTTTCACGATCGCGTTCGTGCATTATGCACAGTTTTGCGATCCTTGACATTTAGCGATCGCTCGGATTTTAGTGTAAATCTTTGCAATTTCGTTCGGCACTGTTTTCGTAACTAATATTAATATAACAACAATTTTATATGTAACATTATAAAATATTATAAACTTGTATGTATTAAAATAAAAGGAATTGCGAGATAAATAAAGAAAATTTTCAGTTTCAATATCTCTGCGGCGTAGAAACCATCAACTAAAAGACAATTGCATCCTACAACTATCTATGATGACATTCCATTTTAAAGAGACAATCGCTAACTACTATGAGTATCTATAGACGTGAACCAGACGTGCCGGTTCGTTAGTTTTTCTTAGAAAATATTCTAGTGAAAAGAGAAAAAATTCAGTGTTTTGTTGTATTTTTCAAAAGACGGGTAAGTACAAAATATCCGTTTGGTTTGAGCAGCACGAAACGTCATACCTGATCTTCCGCAACGTTTCAATTTTCAACGCACTCCGAATATTGTCCATAAATCTCTACTAAAACGCGACGCCGTACTGATGACTCGCGATATAGATCCACCAATATGCAGTTATAACCGAGCAAATAAACTGCACTCTCTAAATATAGAATAAGAGCAACACACACAAATTTAAAAAAAAAATGCCGTATAACTCACGTACGCGTATAAAATATTTTCAGTTACATTTGTTCGCAATAGAAACGCATGCTGAAATAGAAAAAATGGCGTTTCGTCTACACAGAACATTTTAATTTACGATACAGACAGGAAATATTTTTTGTAAAATGGATATATCTAGTATAAAAAATAGGAAAAGAAATATATAAATAACAAGAAAAAAATACAAATAAATAGAAAAACGCACATTCAGGAACAGACAAAAATGGAACTGCGGGCTTTTTTTGTCAGTATATATCCATTTTTAAACTGATTAAAGTTTTATGTCCTATTTGTGAAAAGACACGTGCATACTTTTTCAAGACAATTCGGAATAATAACTGCTGCAATGGATTAGGCTTGTGAAAGCTCAGATTCATATTAACGATAAGTGATAAAAATGCATATTTATTCAGACCAAATGAGATTTCAATGTATGCAGTATAGATTACAGCAAGAGGCTTATTAAGACACCCTGCAACCCTCTTTTGGTATAACTATCAAATACCTATATAGGCAGTATATAACGAACATGACATGGACGTGACGTAGACGGATGGATGGCGGATTGTGCCGGGAGAAAACACGAAAAAGCTACGGGACCGTGCCACAGGGATGATGGTGTCTTTCGAAAAACTCGAGGTAATCCCGCTCGCCCTGTAATCCGATTTAACCCTGGCCAATCGCGGCCGCTGCCGTTGCCGGTCGTGTAACGGAACGACCGCCGTGCGAACGTAAACGAGAGCAATCGGAAGGAATCATCCGCCACGATGAAACCACGTTTACTTTTTCATTACTCAGATCGATCGCGAGATTTAACGGTCGCGCTCGCTGCTCGCGAATACGTTAAACTCCGGACGATTATTCGCACCGAAATATAAGTCATCAATAGGTATTACGCGTTACGCGATGCTTTTAACCAATAGTCCGTAATACAGTTGAAGCATCATGTACGAAAATGCGTATTCAAAGGCTATAAATGTCGAATTTTGAAAATACGAATAACTCGAAAATGATATCTTACTTTCTTATCGAGAGCAAACTTGACTTATAACACTTATGCCCGATTCCACCAACATAGATTAACTTTAATCTCGGTTCAACTTACTCTTCATCTTTTTCTAGTTCTAAGAATTAGAAAAAGGTGAAGAGTAAGTTGAACCAAGATTAAAGTTAATCTACGTTGGTGGAATCGGGCATTAGTATTTTAAACGTAAACAGAATCACTAATTGTGCTTTCAAACAGATCCTTAAATTACGCGATGATAATCTTTTTATTTTTGGTATTTTTGTAGATTCTTTTATCCACATATATGTAAAAAGCCATTTTTTGAATTCGTATATGGGTTCCGGAGTTAAAATGAGATTTATCGGGCTACATCGAGACGACTGAAATAGAATAAAATCAGAATATCCATCGCGAGAGACTAAAGCTTCTGCGGTGGTTGTGCGTTCGATAAAACGGAGACGCCTTCGGCGCCGTCGCGCATTCTCGGTTCTGCAATACGCTCGCTTCTGTCGTCGCTCTGTCTGAGGCACGAGATCTACTCGATTATAAATATAGAGCTTCTCCATGCGGAAGCTGTATATTATACTTTAGCAATGGCCGCCGTTTTGACAAGATTACAAGATTTAATAGAATCGAGATTTTTTTCGCTCAATGTACGGAAATGTATAAATTATTCTTAGGTGAGATAAGAAGAGATGCTTAACAAAATGAATATAAATGTTTTTTTATAATAATAAACCATTCCTACAAGTTTTGTTAATTTAACAGCAAAGTATATTCCGTGAAACAGATCTTCATCATCGAAAGAGTAAGAATATTAAAAAGAAAATCTGCCAGTCGGATGATAAACAACAGAAATACTACCCATTCAGCGAAGGAAACACCGAAAAATCCGACCAAAACTGAAAAATGAACTAAAAGTAGTGAAATACGTAAACGTCCTAGTCTGAGAGCGACGGCTGGCAACCTATCAATCTTATCCAGCTATCACTGGGTGCCGAGTCCAACGTCGGAAACAGTTCGTCGCGAGATCACAGCAACAGAAGCAACAGTGGCGTCACGGCAGCGGGAACAGCAGCAGCTCGCGGGATCATGCCGTACTCCCTCCTCTTCGGTCGCGAATAGCTACCAACTTCTCCGTTCCACATTCTGCCGTGCACATCGATCGCTCTCTCTCTCCTCGTCTCGCTCCCTTTCCGCCTTGTCAGAGAAGGGGCGTTAGAGGTGCCGCGGGCGTCGATGGTGGTGGAAGAGCGTTCGCCTGGTGGGGTTTCGCATGCGGATCCTGGCTAGCACACGTGGGAAGGGATAATTAAACCGACACAAGCGTAGCTCCCTACACTGCCTAACGGAAGGACGAAGAAAGGTTACCATGGCTACGTGGATGGGATCCGGCCAATCCCGGTGTACCTCGTAGGCGTGGCCTGCACATTAACCCCTGGTGCCGGCTATCTCCGTCTTCCTTTCTCGCCTGTGCCCCTCCGCGAGGTCGGTAGGGTGGTGGAGGTAGCGAGACAGAGGTAGAGGTAGGTCTATAGCCAGCCGAGACAGCCCGGTTGCAACGGGCGCGTACAAACGTATCATGCTGGGTAGGGCCGGTGCCGAGATGCCGGCTTGTAAACGAAACCAGTTTGCTATCCGATACGATCCAGGCAACAGCGGCCTCGCGTGATATCCCCACGACGTGGAAGAGCGTCAGCGCGGCTGAGCCTGAGTGGGTGTCACCCTGAGCGAGATCTGGAGAACGACCGCGCGGACTCACCTGACGACGATCCTCGGTCGGAGCACCTACGACGGTGAATTAATTCCAACGACGTTTACCACGTGCCGCCCGGGATTTAATTCGGAGTTGATCAGTGACATAATCGCCGCGACGGGAGAAAAAGTCGCCAATGTGGGCTTTCAGAATTTAACACCTGCAGAAACAATCGGCTCTGCTCGCTTCCTCCGGCGCGATTCAATATTTCTTTAAAAGAGATTAATACTCCCCGCATATTCTCTCTCTAAATGTAATATCCAATCCGCCTGTATCGCCGAACTGTAATATTTGACAGTGTCAATGGTGAAGTGGATAATTTTCCAGTGACCGTTCCATCTGTTTCTAATGAACAAACGTATCGCGCGTGACTCCGAATCATGAGAAGGTCCAGGAGCAAGCACAAATCGGAGCCCCGCGCTTCCTGAGTCTCGACAAGCCTCCGAGTGACATCGACACTCCAAGATCCACAGACTGGATCAGAATTGGTGGATCGCGAAAGAACCGCCGTTCCGGGAAGATGTCCGCCGCTGGGACCACGCCGCCGAACGCAACGCAAGGTCCGATTGTACCTGCTCCGTTATTCGCTTTGCCGACGTTATCTTTTTCCGTCAGCCAGGTGGCCACGGTCTGCGAGACTTTGGAAGAAAGCGGCGACATCGAAAGACTGGCCAGGTTCCTATGGAGCCTCCCGGTTGCTCATCCCAACATCCAGGAATTAAATCAGAGCGAGGCTGTTCTCCGGGCGCGTGCTATCGTGGCTTTCCACTCGGGACATTACCGGGAGCTCTACGCCATTCTAGAGAGGCACAAATTCACCAAGGACTCTCACGGCAAGCTGCAGGCAATGTGGCTGGAAGCGCACTACCAGGAGGCCGAGAAACTCCGCGGCCGACCGTTGGGTCCCGTCGACAAGTATCGTGTCAGAAAGAAATTTCCGCTGCCGCGAACGATCTGGGACGGCGAGCAGAAGACGCACTGCTTCAAAGAGAGAACCAGATCGCTGCTCAGAGAATGGTACCTTCAGGATCCGTATCCGAATCCGGGTAAGAAGAGGGAGCTGGCCGCCGCGACGGGACTCACGCCTACGCAGGTCGGAAATTGGTTCAAGAATAGAAGGCAGAGGGATCGCGCTGCTGCGGCGAAAAACAGGTGTGTTGTAAATCTAAGCCTATTCTTCGTCATCCTGTTGAAAAGAGCGATCTCGCTAAGAACGCTCATAATCACCGGAACGACGAAATCGCATTTCCGTCGCAATCCTGTCAAACAAGCTTGTCAAATTTCAGGCTGTTAAACTCGCTCGCGTCGCGATATCCTCTTTTTACAAAATAACCAAATCGATACGCGTACATTCCAATGAGATTTACACGTTATAGTAATATGTTCGAAAGAGAATGCTACATATTAATCTTTAACGATATATTTATTCATAGTTGAGGTCAACGATAGATAGTAATATATTTATTTATTGTTGAGCAAATGGAATGTATTAAGTAAATTGAATGGAATGTGTTTTTTCGCTCTGATATGCTCCTTCGTATTACCGTCAATATCGTTAGATGCGAAATCAACACATAGCTTTCGCACACACAAACATTCTCTCACAACATTCTTACGTGATGATCAAAACAGTTCATAACTTGATGAGTTTATAATATATATATACATATATATATATATATATATATATATATATTATTAAAAGTGCTGATTATATACTAAAAGTGCTGAATAATTTAACATAAGAGCAAAGAAAAGATAAAGCACGTACAGTTCTTACAAATTTTCGATTATGCATTACAAGCGAAAGCGACCATTGATTCTTAAAAAACCTTGAAAAATTTTTTCCGTCCGTCGGAAAAAATATATATTTCACGAGGAAAACACGTGACCAAACAATGAAACATATGGAAGGCATTCCGACGGCGAAAAATAGGCTGGAAAATCTTTTGTCTTACGTGTTATTCGTTTTTTGGGACAACTGTCGTTAAGATTTTACGCGTATAAATATCTCAATAATCGGTTGCGTCAAACTGCGAGAGCAATAAATTGGTTATTACAGTTACACTTATCGAAAATATCAGCATCGTTTCATAAAGTGTCACGCGACGAACCTGCTGTGATAAATCGAAGAACTCAATTCACATGCGAGAACGTCTTAGAGTTGTCTGCTGTTGGTCACGACGCAGAAGGAAAGTTTTGTTCATTAAGTAGCGTTTAATGGAAGTTAATCGCGAAACGATTAGTGGTTTAGGTCCCTTTAGACAGATTGTTGTACTGTGTCCTCGGCAAACGAGCCTTTGTGCCAGCCCCAAGGTCCCCGTGTGGAGGGTCGCGTAATTTCATTTTGACGTCCGACGGAGGGTCGCTGCCGTCGGGCGAACGACGATTTTCGAATTACGTCTTTCAAATTGTGTTTTGACATCGCGTACTCTCTCTTTCCTCTCTCTATCTCTCTATCCGGCGATATATTCAGCCGAAGTTCCAGGATAGCTTTAAAATAGCATTTGAATCAGTCTCAGATCCTTGCTTTCTGCGTCTTTGTGCGGGGAAAATGAAACAAATATCGCGAAATATTTTTCCTCTCTCGTGACTTTGAATATTGTATCTTTTGATTAATTATATTTCTAAGATAAATGTTTGGACAAAATGGATGTTTCAAGCTATTTTTATAATATTTCAATTTTTTGTCGCAAAATTCAATGAAACATGCTTTCTAAAAAAAATTAATTACTGCCTACTCGAAGCTCTCTATCTCGTCAGAGATCATTGCTATACGAATTTATTCTAATTTTAATGATTTAAAAAATTGTTTAAATTAGAATAAATAGAATTTGAATCAATTCCTCAATATATATATATCAATTGCTAATCTTGTCGGTCGCTTAGAAAATGTGGATATTCAGAGTCGAAAAATTGTGTAACGAATTGAGTGTCGTCGACTTCACAGAAAGTGAAAGAAAAGAAAAGAAAAGAAAAGAAAGAAAGAAAAAAAAGATATTTCCAAGTATCCATAAAGCTCAAGATGTGTTAAAAAGATAAATTTATTGTATTTAGTCACGGTCGTTATTAATGGATCATCGACAAAGTGCAAATTATAAAAAAAAGAACTGAAATATTTCTTGGGATTATCACCTGTCATTTTTGGTTTATAAGGAACCGCTGCACACAGGTAACGGTCTAGAAGCCGCATTGTCCGGCTATTTATCGCTAAACGGAAAGCACCGCCATTATTTGCCTATAAAAGGAAACCTGAGGTAGATTTTCAACACAGTTTTTTGTGTGTCTTTTTCCCTCTCATTAGGAAAACTCGAGTCGTCAATGTCGAAACCGGATGTCCTTCTGATCTGATTTATGAGTTCTCAAAAAATTACTCGAAAATTTCCGTTATTGCTTCGTGGAGAATCTCATAGTTTTTTTTTTAATTTGCGTACGCGCGATCTTGCATGTATATTGTCGAATAAATGTTTTCATCTTTCATGTTTTCGGGTGAAAATATCAATTTGAATCCGCTTTAACAATTCTAAAAGTTAATTATATATAGATGGCTTTCACATAAAAAAAAAAAATAAAACGTTGCATTTCTCAACACCTGTACAAAATTGAGAATTAATCCAAATATCTGTATCATTTCTTAATATGTTCACGAGTAAAAAACATTAAAATTTGCGTTTGATTTCTTTTATACAAGAATCTGTGTCGTTTGATTGCAAGAAAATTATTTGTTATGTTGACACGTCTAGAAGTTATGAATGCATCGAATCTCTCATGTAACGATAACACAGCACGTCTCGTAAGCGACACACGCAACATTCTCGAAGATTAAAATGCTAATTCGCTCCGTATTGGTGCGTTATTTCAATCGTAAATCAGGATGAATGCTTCGATAACCTGCGCACGATAAACTGCCGTTCTCCCGTGGAAAGTCGCGCCGACCTAGATCTGTCCCCATGCGCGCGGATGTATCGTGTAATTATTGCGCTCTGAATGAAGTCATTAATAGTCATTACCTACGTCTAACGCTGTAATTGATATATCGTTAACGGTCGGCGATGGCTCGACCATACTGCTCTAATTGATCTTGATGAGCTCGCGCAGCGGACAAAGATTATACGTTTGAAACTTGCACTGTCGCTAAACGACGTACGGCGGTTTCACTAAAAATATTGGAAAATGTTTACATAACTTTGCCACATAATCAACATAAATATAGAATTGCGCTCGTTGCGTCACTGACGGTAAAACCGATCGTTCCTGGTTGTTGCTTTTCCGACGCGGGAAAATATGCGTAATACAAGATTTATTAAGTGGAACATAATATTGCATAATTCGAAAGAATTATGCAATACGATAAGATCAAATCAAAACTCTGTTAGAATTTCTTATGCGTGATGATGAAGTGCATTAGAAATACTGCTCTACGCGTATTTCACACGTACATAGCATTGCAGGCGGAAAGCAATATTGTTATGCAAATTTAGGAAATAATTACATTTAAATGCGTCAAACAATTACAAAGTATAAACAGCAATTTCCTCAAAAGTCCCATTGAAATGTAACTTTAGTTCGATCGTCCGAGAAAACGGACAATTAATTGGACAATTATATCTTATCATAAAACACTGAGATATTTTCATATCTTTCTCGTAGCGCAAGATCCAATGTACCATTCTGCTGTTATTTTACTTAAAAAAAAAAATACAAAACGATTCAAAAGACCGTTTACGTTAACCACAATCCCATGGCTCTATATTCAAGTGAAGCTATTCAACAATGGCTGCGATGTACCTATCGTTACCCGACGTAATGACATTCCGCGTCTGGCCCCGAGCCACATTTTCCTGCACGTAATCCTTCGAATCCCAGGACGAAGTCCTCGCTTGTGTACATCCTACATCTAGATAGACGTAGGGAGATAGAAAGCCTCCCGAGGACCCTGCAGGTCCTTTCAGAAACATCGACCAGCGTATGGAATTTGACGTTGGCAAAATCCGCGTGCAATATGCCATTGTTTCACAGTTCTTTAGAGATAGAGATTATCATTATG